ACGCAGTCTAGTCCTTGTTGACCTGGGTCTTCCGATTCAGGACTTGGAATTTTGTTTTTCGCCGTGACTCTCACTTTTTGTCTTGAACAAGTCGTCATCGGGAAAGTCGCCATCGAGTCTCCTCTATTGGCGTGTGCCTACTGCCGCCTTCACCCGTACTTCTGTTGACCTGGGTCCGTGCGCATCCCTCTGCAAGCACCTTAACAAGCTGCCTACGAGTATGTCTGCATATAAACAGTACCACGTATCCCATCAACTACGGGTTCGCGGGGTAGTCTGCCTCGTCTCGTCGAGAGATGTCCACGCTTACCAGGTCCAATGAACAAATACATAATATAAATTACATACATTGATCCTATGGCCCACGCAGGGGTCGTACATGAATAATCTAGTAAAACATTTAAAATATGCGGTGTCTCACCGTGCGAATAAATTATTACAAGCATTCACCAACCCAAAAATCCTCGACATGTCCGAGGCTTATAAAACGACATACATGAATTAAAAAACAAACATAAATGCGGGCCATAATAGTCGGATTCAAGAATACCTGCAAACACACTTATTTGCAATTCTAATCTATTATGCGCTGCGTCTGTACGCAATTAATTCACATATATCACGCGAGACCTAATTCGAATAGTGCACAAAGCCGAATTAGACTGGGCTCTGATACAAGTTGTTGGGTTCTATTAGGAACGTCGACAATGTGCACATTCAAATCTATTGAATAATAAATCCTAACGCAGTGGAATCTATAGTTAGGATTAGGACTTACGGTTTAAAATTTTTGTTGACTCTGAGACGTTTCTGATTTCCGTTGATGGAGATCGTCTGAACACCAAAGTCTAATGGGCAGCTAGACTTGGCCTTTCTCGATTCTAATCGAGTCACTATGGTGCTCCAGTCTCTCATCTAGCTCATCGGATCGTCTCGGACCTTCAGTAAGTGGATTAGACTCGTCAGGCCGGTCGGGAACCATCTTGGACATGAACCGAGGCTGCTGGACCGAGTTGAACTGATTCAAAGCTTTTTGGACGTGTCATGGACCGATCTGATGTGTATGGGCCGGTTTTGATGCTGCTAGTCGCGATCTGGGCACACTTGGACGCGCTGGGCTGGAACCTCGCTCGCTGGGCTGAAGCAACGCCAACTGGGTCGCGTCAAGATGCTGCTGGGCCGCGTACAACACGCTGGGCTGAAGAATCACGAACTGGGCCACGCACTACGGAGTTGGGCCACGCGAGATGGGCTGAAGACACTGGGCCGCGTGCGGGCTAGGACGCGGGCTGCTCTCGGGCTTCACGGGCCGAGAACTGTGAGCAGGATCGGGCCGCGCGCGGGCCGGATGCGGGCGCCCGCGCGCCTGGAGTAAAAAATTGTCTCCTATTTACGCAAGGAGAAGGAATCGAACACCCGACCTCGCACGCAGAAGACAGCGCTGCACGCCATCGTGCTACACACGGTGTTGCGTCAAATTAACACGGACGATGGATAAAGAACCTGACCGCGAATTTAATATATCAAATGAAATACGAATCAACAACCTTCGAATCTTCTATTGTATGACCTTTACACGATCTCTAATAAATCTTGGTGGAACGATTTATTAGATTTCCCAAAACCTCTTGGTCATCTTCTTCTAAGACCTTATGGTGCTAACCGAATTTTCTTTCGAAGAAGAATCTCTCTCTTTCTTTCTCGCTTGAAGAGGCCGAATTTCGCCAGCCCTTCGGGGAGAAAAACATATAAAGCTATGCCAAGAGGTTATGGGACTTTGTGTATTTATAGGGTACAATAGGGACCTAAAGGAGGTGCTAAATATGAGCTTATTCCTTAAGATTTAGGAATCCTTATTATCTTCCATCTCCTTTTCTCATCTAGGATAATGTTCCTAATAATTAATTACCTTCTAGAAGACTCCATAGTCTCCTAACCCTAGGTAATATTCTAGAAGGAATATTCTCATCCTTAGGGAATTATGGAATATAATTAATTCCTAATTCCTAATATTGGAATTAAATAATAAAATATTCCACTAGAGTAATATTATTGCTCTCCCCATTTAGCTCCGAATTACAATTAATTCGTTTCCACTGATTAAATATATTAATCCAATTGATCGATTTATCTCCCCATGTTTAAGATATATTGTCCGTTGATTAATTAAATTACTGACAAAATAATTAATCAACTTCTTATTCATTTTCGAAACTAGTACTTCTCAGATCCTTAATCATTATGCCGGATAACACATCCGCCTACAGGGCTTGACATAATATTCCTTCCTGAGCTCATTTCGGGGACATCATCAACCCAGCGCACTGGGACACAGTGACCGTAAATAATTTATAACGGCACATCATATAAACACACTTATTTACCAAAATACTGAGTATATCTTCCTAGCAAAATAGGAATCACCCTTGATAAATCAAATAAATAAGTAATGAATACATATGCCCATTTTATATTATCTTACAGCTTAAGAGTACGCATCAATTACTGAAGGTCTAGATTACAACAACGGTCAGTGAGTCTCATAATCTTATCCTTCCGTGGTCCTGTTCAACACCTATCATAAGTGCTAGTGTAATTCTCCAGTCAAAGACCAACTGAATCAAGAATACACTACAGTCTTTTCCAAGAGGGGTCTCACTGTCTGTCTAGACTGTGAACGAATAGTTTAGTCTTACAAGGAACCGATAGGTGATCTTTCTGTTCGAAACACTTCGAACCACACTATCTCAATGTAAGACAAGGAGTATGATTGCATAAATAAATAAATTGCAAGCATATGTACTTTGACCGAAACATGATGGCCAGATCAAAATGGAATTGATAGAATCTGTAAATAGGATGTAACACCCCGCTATTTTAATATACATCAGAGTACGCCATTTTCGCAAAGTTTCT